GCGCCCCTGCCTCCGGTCTGAGACCGGACACACGCGCTGCCTATTGCGGCAGCCACGTCGGCGCGGCGTGCCACCTCCTTACCTGGCCCCCGCGCAGCCGCTCTGGCTGCCGGCAAGGTGCAGGCTGCGGGCAGCACCCTACCCATGGAGGCCCACCCAGCCTTACCCCAACCAATCTAGCCCTTGACCCGGGCACGACTATCTCTCACCTGGGTTCCTGCAAAGGCCTTTCTAACTTACAGTGTGAAGTTGCAGCTTTTGCCACCCAACAATCCATTTACTGGAGAGGATTTCACCCTGGGGTGTCTGTCTGTCTGTCTCCTTCTCTTCTCTCTCCTCTCTCTCACTTCTCTCTTCTCTCTCCCTCCCTCCCTCTCTATCGCCCCTCTCTCAGGAACAACCTGTTCAGGACCCGAAATAGCTGAGAAACAAATGTCTTGAACAAATTATTTAATCTCTCTAAACATTATTTTGTAGCTCTAAATCGCTACAAGAAAATGAAGAGCTTTATAAATTGCAAGTGTTTTTGCTAGTGATATCTCTGAAATGTATCACAATCATTTTGTTTTAGCCTCCCCTCTGAGAATAACCTAAGAGCTAGAAAGATACAGTCTCCGAGGTCAAGAAGCTTAAACTGTAACCGGGTAAACAGTTTCCTAGCGCTTTCAGCTGCAAAGAGCAAAACAAATGAAACCTGTGGTCTAAAGTGTCTGGAACAATCAGGAATGTGTTCACCTGATCAGAAGTTCAATGGCTGGACTGAGGGCCTCCATAATAACAAACAAATCTCGACAACCAGAATGCTCCTTAGAAGCGAGGATGGCGAGACTTCATCTCCCGGGCTTGGGCCATGTTATCAGACGAGGCCAGTCTCTGTAAAAGGTCATCATGTTTGGCAACGTGAAGGGGCAGTGACAAGCAGGAAGGCCTTCAAGGAGATGGATGGATGAACCCAGTGGCTGTAGCAATGAGCTCCAGCATCCCACCGACGGTGAGGATAGCCTGGTCTGTCCGTGTTTCATTCTGTTGTGCACAGGATCACTGTGAGTCACAACAACAACAATCAGCAGGTTGGCCTTTATCTCTCTGCCTTATCAGACTAAGAACTAGGTGACCATGGTTATCCTTGGGGCCAAGTCCAGACATGACTATAAGGGCTATTTCTTTCCATAATTTATTTCCTTCTAAAATAAGAAACTATTTCTAAGGATCCTCCCCGCCAACCTCCTTCATGAATCAGTGGCCTGAAATGTATCACATGCCCACTTCTAAACCAATCACAGGTGCATGGATAGAATTACTCTGATGGGACAGCCCGTCATCAGAGTTGAGATGTAATGGATGTTGAGAAGTCTACTACAAAGTCTGTCATGAACACTGTAACTGAAGATAATAATGACGCAAATGTGATAAGTTCAAATCTGCTACCCTTCAGGGGAAGAAGAAAATCATTCCAGAAACCATTCTGCATAAAATAATGTGCACAGAAGGGTCATGTTCAGGGAATATCCAAGAGCCTAGTTGCTTATACTGTATAGGAAAGGGTCAAGAGGAAGATAAAGCTGAGAAGTTAATTTGAAAGCAGAGCTTTGTGCAGTGGCAATATTGTAGCCAATGAGATCTATCCAAGGCGCTGTTATTGCTAATTGAGAAAAAAAAGAAAGCAGATTTTGGAGCCCTGAAACACCATGCCAGAGACCAGAATCAAGTAAGCAGAGATGCGGTAAGACTGATGCCAAGCCATCTGGTGAGAGTCATCGCTTTTTAGATGACTCTGGCACCGAGGCACAACATGAATTACAGTGAGTTTAAAACTCTGAAGTTGAGACCAAGACGGCGCTTCAGGGGAATAAGTGACATCCAACTGAAATTCTCTAGCTCCAGATAATTAAATTCAAGTACCTTGTGATCCAACCATCTACTGGGGATATACCAAGAGTATGTATGAAATCAAGAATAACAAGAACAAACAT